GAAAAGGATTGCAAAGTGAAGCATCACTCCTATGAAGACTACACGCCTAAAGCAATATTACACTACATGCAGCTACAAAAGGTTAGAGCTCAAATCCCCAACGAACTGCTGAATAACTCTGTCCTGAACTCGACGTGGACACAAGGCAGGCAGTGATTTGTGATCAGAAATGTAGCAAAATTATATCAGACATACAGACTGGCCAACTGGTTAGCTCCCCTAAGAATACAGACACCAAACGATGCAGGAAGGAGTCAATTATTTTTCATGTGTTCACCAAAGTACGGTGCACATCTTCATCTTTAGTCTTTATAATGATAACTTTGGTCATCTCCCCGCAGCAGGATAACGGACGCTAAAGTGTCGGGAGCACTACGTTATCTAGGTGTCTGTATTCCTGTCACTTACAAGCCAATCAGCTGACCGTTGTGAGAATCTAATTTTGTCCTAATGTTTGTTTTTAAAGGGCTGGAGTGATGGAAGTGGCCCTGGTTGTCATTGCAGTTAAGGTTTGTGTGGCTGTGGTTGAAGCTCCTAACGAGCCTTTGACCAAACAATTCCAGTTGTTTGATTGTCAGGAGCAGCAGTGCAGTGAGGCAGATTTGAAACAATATGTTGTGCTCCTATTTACAACAAAAGGTGCTAGACTGCATAATTAGAATTATTCAAGAGAAATAATTTCAGCTCTATAAATGTTCATAGTCTAGATTGTTTTTAGGTTGTGAGTAGCAACATACGCAGTCAGCTGGGAGGTGGTGGCATCATTAATGGCAGAGTGTTTTCCTTAATATAGCGCTGACATGGTCAGTACATATTAATCAGAATTAATCAGGAATTAAAAAGCTACAGCCCGATTATTTGTTAAAATGGTTACAATCATCAAAAGGACTCAACTCACCAATGTGTAAGTCAACAACAGTGGTGTCCTTAGGTTTAGGGTTTACAGCTGATAATGACTTAGACTTCAGAAGGCAAATACTTTTTAAAAATTCAAAGTGTTTGGTTTTTATAAACTAGATAATTAATATAGTCTGATAGCACAGCGAAGGCATCGAGGTTTTAAGACCTCCGAGCACTGAATCGTGCACAAATACAATATTTATCAGGACTAAAATCCCAAATTTGCAATAATAATTTTTCTCCTCTACAAACGTGTAAATACGAGTCTTTTGGTGAATAAACCAAAACCTTTACTTGAGACAGGTTGATGCATTAACATTTTAAGACTTTGAATTGATTCTGAATTTTATTTTTTACCTATATGTCCGTCTCAGAACACCGTACCATTTATCCTTTTCATCCAGAGGTAATGAAAAGTAAATGGTCTCAGTTTTAATCTCCTATCAAAGTCTGGTAGTGAGACGTACCAAAACACCTCCAAAAACCATATTCATCCTTATTTTAGAATATCTGTCGGTTTATTTTCTGCACATCACTGTTTCATATTAACACTTGGGAGACATTAGCATTGTTTTTACAGTCTGTTCTAATATCAAATGAAAATAGGCGCATGAAGTGAAAGTACTATACTTGTTCAATTTGCTTTTTATAAAGGACTTGATCTTTGGTTGTTTCAATTCCCTATTGTAATTATTACTACTCATTTATTTATTTGATGTCTGCTAATTTCCACATTTTTGGAGTTTCGAGATCATGGGTTTTATCTTCCAGTTAAATTTGAAAATGTACGGAGCCCCGCAGGGGACATGGGAGAAAAAAAAA